ACAGGTATCACTCATACCCAAAACCTCACAAGTGTGCATTCTTGCTCTGGGCTGGCTTAGGGGTAGGAGAGGCTGATAAGAGTTAACAACATCACTTTCAGTTCTGCAGCCTTAAAGAAACAAAGCCCCGTTTCCACCAAAGAAAGCTTTATTAAAGTTTTTTTTATTTATTTATTTGACAGAGAGAGGCACAGTGAGAGAGGGAACACAAGCAGGGGGAGTGGGAGAGGGAGAAGCAGGCTTCCCGCCAAGCAGGGAGCCCGACGCGGGGCTCGATCCCAGGACCCTGGGACCATGACCTGAGCCGAAGGCAGACGCCTAATGACTGAGCCACCCAGGCGCCCCCAAAGAAAGCTTTAAGATCCCTCCCAGCATATCCAGAGCATCCCAGTGCCACTTAACCAACGCAAGGATACAAAGAGTTGAACCATAATCTTCCTGTCAATCAGGGGTTCTCAGACTTTAGTATCCATCAGACTAAATTTGGAGGACTGTTTAAACAGATTGCTGGGCTCCATCTCCATCAGTAGGCCTGGGATAGAACCCCAATTTGTATTTCTAATAAGTTCCCACATGGTACTGATGATGGTGGTTCCAGCACCACACTTTGAGAACCACTGAGTTCATAGAAATGGTTGAGGTATGAGAACCCAATGCCAGGGCAGAAATGTGTGCAGAAATCTTTTCATGAAGTTGAATTGCCTGATAACCCCTGTAAAAATTAGGACTTTCTTTTTTCAGCCCCAGTGTTTTCAACCCTGAACTCCCCTCTTTTTTATAAATTTATTGGTAGGGGAAATAGTTTTGTGAAGTTGTTTTTAAGCTTTTATGAGCCTGATCAAACTGATAGACACTCTCTACAGAAAAGCCCATATACACATACACAGAAACATTGCTTACAATTTCAGGAGGTGCTGGGACACCTCTCCCACCAGCCCACCCACTGACACTGAGGAGTATCAATAGAAAAACTATGCCCTAAGGCAAAGTCTTGGGTTCACGTGGATGTAACAAAAAGTCCCTTCTTATACTTAACCTTTCAGTTAACTCATTTTTAAAACAAGAATAATAATAATATTCTTGCATCTAAAAATTTTTTTAAAAAATTTAAAAAATTAAAAAAAAATAAAAATAATATTCTTGCATCAAAGTTTTTGAGGATTAGCTGATATAATACATGAAAAGGCATAATTTGATAACCAGAAACACTAAATAATACCTTTTTTTCTCTCTTCATAGTCTTGTTACAATAAACTCTCATTCTTGAGGCAAGTGGATGCTTCTCCCTACTAAGGAAAGATCAGGAAGTATAAGAAAGAAGAGCCCTAAGTGTAATAGTTCAAGACCTTACTCTACTCCCATCACATTCTTCTGCTAAAATCTGGTCACAGGCTGCCATATGATGGTTCTCTCTGTGAGTCACTGAGCAATGGGATCTAGCAAGCCCAGGCCTGGCTCTGTGACCTGAGAGTCTCAATTTACTTGCCCTGAAATACTCCACTTTGCAAATGTCCAATGTCTTATGTCCCCATGTTAATGCCTCCTGGCAGAAAGATAGAAATGTAAAGTTCTAATAGGGGTTTGTTTCTAGGCTAAAAGATGCTGAGTCTTGAGAAATAGTGATTAAGGGTAAAGCCTGATTCTCACTATTTCTACAAAAGTAAATAAATACATTGATAGACCAATCAGCAGACATTTATTTAGCACCTACTGTGTACACTGTGTAATAGATGACACAAAGAGGAGTAACACATGTTCCTGTGCTATGCCAACTCACAATCCAGCAGGGAAAATAGATGTATGCAAAAATATACCAAACACAAAGTGAGCCTTGGCAAGGGCAACGATTGTGGTTCATACAGAGGTTCAAGAATACAGGAGGGAGAAATTAATTTTAACAGGGATCCATTAAAGTCTCCTGGGCAAGGGGGGATTTTTAGCTGGCCCCTAAAGGAGGAGTGGGACTGCGATAGGTGACTATAATGGAGAAGGACTTTATAGGCTGTGGAAGTAGTCTGAAGAAAAGACTTAGAAAAGTGCTTGGTTTAAGTTTGCATAATTATGATTTAACAAGTGTGACTATAGTATAGGGGCGGGGTGGAGGTATCGAGCTTGAGGCCAGAGAGAGAAGTTGGAAACATGTTGTGGGAAAGAAACCAAAGGCCAAGTGAGGAGCTTTGGCTTTACTCATCATGCAGCGGGGAAGGATTGAGGGTCTTTGATACCACAGGCAGGTCTGTTTTTCCAATAAGAGAGCTGGTGCCACTGTGAATAGACGATAGAGAGCAAAAAACAAATATGACCTGGTAAGGTTTTGGGAACCTGAACTAAAGCCAGAGCAGTGGGAGTAGCCAGGAGGGTACCCGGGGCAGAAGTGTGTGTGAGGCTGCATTTTGAGAATGGTTGATGACACGTAGCAAAAAAAAAACAAACAGAGGCAAGCTGAGAGGGCACACCCAACCCCAGGCAGGATTGCTGCATAGAGCAGACCATGGGCTCCGAGGAAGAAACTGGCTGGGGGCCCAGGGCCCAGAGGGTGAGGAATACCTCCTGGCTGTCCCAAGAAGACGTTTGTCCTTCCTAGAATTCCCAGAAGGGGAGCAACTGACCATCTCTTTTGTCTGCAAGGAATATCAAAATGCCTGGACATGGGTCCTCATCCCAGCAGCTTCAGAAGTCCTGCAGATCTTCTAAAATAACTTTCAGGCCCTTTCCCATGGGATTTTGATCTGGAAACCTGAGGTGGGACCCAGGCATCCATTCTTTGTAAAGCTCTCAGGTGAATGTGATGCACATCTGGTTTGGGGAACCGCTGTGGGACCTTACTATTAGCCTGGGAGGGGTATAGAGACCCTGGCTCAGTACATACTTGTGCAGATGAAGACTGTGATGAGCTGAAGACCTTGGGCTTTAGTATCCAGCAGTGTCTCAAGCACAGTGACCTTCATCGAATGTCTCAGGAGGGAACCCCTCCTCCAACTCTAGGCCTCAGTGACCACACCAGGAGATGGGAGAGACTGCACGCTTGATGGGGTCCCCTGAACGACCCAAGAGGACAATGTACATACAAGTCATCATTTTCACCCTTGTCCTCAATTCAAAAAGGAGGGCTCGGCTGTGTCACAGGGATCCTATAAGAGAATCTTATTACAGGATGCTTTGAGACTTTAGAAGACAGGCTACATAATAATACTAGCCATTTTCTGCCAGGCTTATACAACATTCATAGTACTTTCACTGCTATTTTTGTTTTTATTTCTCAGAAAAATAATTCAGTACAAAGGTAAGGCTGGTTAAACGGATCCCTTCTGGACACTGGGCTCTGTGTGATTTGGTGACTCGTGCAAGGTCAGACAAACCAGAGCCAGTTCTGAACCCGCCATCCACCCCAGCTCCGGTTCTGCTTCTGGGCCATAATGGAGAAGGGTAACATAAAGGCATTTTTCTCTCCTTGTAAAAGAGGGAAAAAATGGGGGGAAGGGGGAATTATTTAAACACACCTCACTCATACTGCAATCACTGCATTGTTTTTCCTGTTGAAACACCCTGTTGGTTTTTAAATCCCTTTAAACCTACCCGGCACCTGTATGGCCCAGATCCAAGAATTATTACCGAACCCTTCACTTTTTATATTTAGCCACATAGGGGTTTCTGTGATGGTATCTGGCTCTCGGTTCAGTTGAAAATTTCAGAGCTTCCAGAAGTTTTCTTCTTCCATAGAAGCTAGAGGCATGCAATGCTCAGACATGATTTCTTAAATTTTTTATTTTTATTTTAATCAAATATGTCCCCCCATTTCAGTTCTCCTGCTGGGTAAAATGGTATCATGGCACCACCCTGTACTGTTCCTGTGTGAAGATCCTCCTGAAATACTGACCAAAAGAAAAGGCAGGGGAGGGGTGGGGAAGAGGTGGATGGTCTCCATCAGCAACTTATGGTTTGTGGGATGACCTCTCTTCAGGGCAAGAACTGAGGCTGAAAACATAATGAGAACTTCCCAGCAAATTCATTATAACACAGCATAATGTGAGCTCACTGGGCACAAAAATAGGCTGAAGGAAAGTGACTCCCACATAAGACCTAATTAAATACTTTGATGTCAGAAAGCAGAGCAGGGAGGGGTGGAAAATCAAATCAGACCAAAGTGAAGGACCTAAATTCAAGTGGAAAGAAGAAATATTTCTGTCTCTCCCCCCTCCACTT